GCCCACAGGGAAGGGAACCTGGACCTGCCTGCATCTGCATTTAGAGCCCCCCTTTCCTCGTTTAGAGGTGCCCCCCCTCTCTGGGCGGCCTTGGGGGTCTCTCTGCCAGGCCTGGGAAGGGCAGCCGTACCCCAGCCAGGCCAGGGAGAAGATGGGGGGCTTGCGGGACAAGGGAGGCAGCAATCAATTGGGCAGAAACCCTCAGGGGCTGGGCGGGGGGGGGAGTAGCAGGCCGATTTGTCTCCAGGGTTGCTCTCTCTTCCCCCCCCCCCGCAGCCCCCCACCTCTGGGCCTCTGCCCCTGGAAGCCCCTCAGTGCTGCTCCAGGGGGCAGAGAAGTTGCTGCAGACGGCCTTCGTGACAAGGCCCAGCGCCCAGCTGAGGACCCTCTGGGCACCTTGCCCCATCCTCAACGGGGGGGGGGGGCAGGGGGGCAGGGGAGAGCCTGGCAGGTGGCTGGAGGACTTCTGCATCCTTGCTGGCCTCTTCCCGGCCTCCAGCCACGTTTGGGGAAGCGGCCCCAGGTGAGGGCAGGGGACAGGCCACGCCAAGCCCCAAAGCAGGCGGAGGGCACCCCTTCCCAGCCCCCCAGCAGGGCTTCCTCACACAAGGCCCCCCCCCAGCTCTGCAGCCTGAAGAAATGGGGATACAGCAGTCAAGATCCTTCCTCCCTTCCTTAGGTGTCTGCCGCACTTCTGAATGGAACAGGCCAAATGCAGGCAGAAGGGAGGAAACCTGTTCAGCCGAATGCCCCCCCCCCTCAGTACCCGAGCTGGTCTCGGCTCCCATCATCCTCAATCCATCTATTTGTGCACCATGGGAGGCCAGCCAGAGCCAGAGGGACAGAAGCTTTGCTGCCCTGGGGGGAGGGTGCAAGATGGAACCCTTTCTTCTCGGTTGCTGTCTTGGGGGGCTCTTGGAGGCCTTTTTCAGATCAGTTCTCCTCCCCACCACACCTGAGCCCTTTGCCCACCTCCCACCCCCGGGACCCCTGGGCTGCTGGGCCCACAGGCTGCCTCCCCCCTGTCTCTGCAGTCAGAAATCTCTGGGGCTGGAATTGGGAGTGCATCACCCAACCTCGGGGGGGGGGCTGCCCAAGTGCTGGGGGGAGCAGCAGAGCCACAATGGAGCCAGATGACCGTGGGGGGGGGGGGCTGAAGGTGCCAGTTGCAGACCTTGTTCTATCTAGTGCTGGGCTCAAACAGACCCCCCCCCTCCGATGGGGCTGAGAGAAGAGGCAGCAAACTAACTGGTGAAAGGTTCTGTGGTGGGGGGGGACCTTGGCTGGCCAAGGCTGAAACCTAAGGGGGATGGGAGCTTTTAAATTCCTGCAGGAAAAGGGCTGATTGCTTCGAGGGGGGGGGAAGGGGGAGGGGGAAGAGGAGAAGGGTGCCCTGGAAATTACAGAAAGTCTCCTCTGCTGGGGCTCCAGAAATTGCAGGGGGGGGCTTTCAAGGATTCCCCCCACGCCAACCTCTAGCTACCCTTTGGGGTGTCTTATTATGAATGGTCTCCCCCACTGCTGACTTTGCCTATGGGTGAACCCCAAAAGAGGCACAGGAGGGGCCACTTGGCTACAACAGGGAGGAGAGTCAGGGAGGGTCAGACAGGTGCCCTCTTTCTTCCCCCCCCCCAAAAAAAAACAACAACACCAACCTGGGCAAAATATCTCCAGGCTTCTTGGTCAGCTCTCCCACCCTGCCTTACTTGCACAGAGGCCGAAATGCGGGTGGGGGAGGGGAGAAAGTGCCAGCCTGGCCATATCCTGCCTCTGCCCAGACTGGCAGGAGACCCCTTGGGGGGCCCAGGGCCAGGCTGCAGCAACGGAGGGGGGGGGAAGAATTGCCCTCCTGCAAGGAAGTCCCGAGCCGGTTCCTTCAAAGAGCTCATTTCCGGGGCCTCTCTGCTGTTGTGGGTGTGCAAGTGTGTGTGTGGCAGCAGGGCCAGAAGAAGCCCCCCCCCAGCCTTCTCTGCCTTGCTTCCAGCCCAGCCGGACCCTTGGGCAATGCCAAGGGGCACAAAGGCCTGAGCAGGCGGGAGATGCCCGGGGCTGCCAGGGGAAGGCGAAAGCTGCCAGGCCATCCAACGTCCTGGTGTGCTTTGTGTGCCTTGCTCCAGACCCACAATCGCACACCCACAAAGGCTCCAGGCTCCCGGCAGCCTTCAATGCCACGGATTCGGTTGCTCTCGGAGGGGAGATAAGCTGGAAAAACATCTCTGCTCTTCCAGGGTTATCTGTCAGCGGCTCAGCCCCAGACGGCGGGGCATCCCCAGTGGGTGAAAGGCAGCCAGTCCTTGGGGGGTGGGCAGTAGCCCCCTCCCCAGGCCAGGGTCCTCTGAACTCCCCAATGATGAACTCTGACCCCCAGGACTTAAGAAGGGCGGGGCACCAACCGGCCAGCCTTGCCGGCACAGACTCTATTTACGCAGCCCGGCCAATAGCCCAGATTCCCCCTGGATCCCATCACGCTTCGGGGGGGGTCATTTCCTGCTCCCCAGCTCAGTATTTACCCTCCTGTTGATCTTTCAAGTTTCCGAAAACAATTTGCATGTCTTGCTTTGTCAGCAGGAAGCCAAAGTGTGCAACTTGGAGGGTGAAGGGAGCACTGTAACCCTCCCAGGGTAATCTTGTGGTAAGATGGGCAAGTGATAAATTTTACAGATAAATAAAAGTAAATAAATGCTTCGATCTATTCCAGCCCCTCCTCCGTTCACGCCATCCTAGGGTCAACCCACTCGGAGGGGAGCTTCCTGCAGCTCAGAGGGGGGAGCCCCCAAAGGCCAGCCGTGACCCTCCATCCCTCCGTATTTCTCCGGCACCACCAGCAAAGGGTTAGCCAGCCTGGAGGTTGTGCAAGGTGGATGGGGCTCCTGGCCCCCCACTTTTGTCTGCCACCCTGGGGTGGCCCTGAGTTCAGCCTGCTAGCCAGGGATGCCCGTGTCTGGGGCAGAGAACCCCCAAAGTCATCCAGCTGAAAACGGGTCACAGTCCAGCCAGTTTGGTGTACTGATTAAGGCACCCGGCTACAAAGTAAGAGGCTATGAGTTCAAGTTCTGCTTTAGGCATGACAGCCAGGCGGGTAACTTGGCCAATCACCAGGAGACGGTGAGTTCTAGTGTCCCATCTTGGGCACAAAAGCCGGCTGGGTGACCTTGGGCCAATCACCAGGAGACGGTGAGTTCTAGTCCTGCCTTCAGGGTGAAAGCCGGCTGGGTGACCATGGACCTCAGCTCAGCTCAGCCCACCTCACAGGGTTCTTATTGTGAGGAAAACAGGAGGAGGAAGGCGGTGTTGGATATATTTAACTGCCTTGAGTTATTTTGTCAAGGTAACAAAGACGGGATAGAAAGAAAGAAAGAAAGAGAAAGGAAAGAAAGGAAAGAAAGAGAGAGAGAGAAAGAAAGAAAGAAAGGAAAGAAAGGAAAGAAAGAAAGAAAGAGAGAGAGAGAGAGAAAGAAAGAAAGAAAGAAAGAAAGAAAGAAAGAAAGAAAGAAAGAAAGAAAGAAAGAAAAAGAAAGAAAGAAAGAAAGAAAGAAAGAAAATAAAGATAAATAAAGCCGGCTCCACTTCCCCCCCCCCTCGCTCTGCTCCCCACTTTTGACAATGAGGCCTCGGGAAGTTCTCCTACTCCTGACTCCGACTTCTCCCCTTCTCGGTTGTGAGTGACACCTGCGTACACCTGGACGTGAAATACGCCCCTCTGAACAGAAGCTGCATTTAGAGATGTGGGGCTTTGGCTGCACCCATAATTGCCCCCTTGGGAACGGTGCAGTTCCCTCTGTGACGCTCTCTCTGCAGAAGCAGAGAGTCTCCCAGGTGGGGGAGCTTGGATAGGGAACTGGCCCAATGGGACGGCCGTCATAGTGGTCAACCTCAAAGTGGCACCTTTGCTGCAGAGATCAGCTCAAGCCCGGCAAACGGCTGCCAAGGCCAGCTTTTTCCTGCCTCTCCCCCCTCCCCTTTCTCCTGCCCCTCGGCCCCTCCCCTGGAGGTCCCCACGGAGGAATCGGGACCCGCAGGAGAGACGGGGTCCAAGGGGCGACCCGGAGGCCCTCTCACACTGGCTGCATCAGTTCCTTTGCCAAAAACTCGGCACAGCCGACACAGCCCCCTGTAGGCAGGGGAAGCCCCTCACTGGGGGTTTGGGGGTTCTGTCCAGCTAGCAGGCAGAGCTCCAGGCCCAATTGAGCTACTCCAGAGAGGCTGAAGATGGCACAACACCCCCCCCCATCCTCCGAAGCCCCCTCCCTGATTCCAGAGCTTTTCTGCTGGGGGGGGGTTGTCTCTGACTTGCCCAGGCTTTCCTGGATGTCTGGAATAAAAGGGTCGGCTGGATGCATTTCGTCCCTTGTTATTAATTTATTCATTAAACTGGCTGACAAACAGTACAAACAAGTGAAGACATCCACAGTGTGGATGGTTGATGAACGATAACATCACACACTCGCACACACCCTGAGAAAAACAGCAAACCCAACAAGCAGAAACAACAAAATAAGAGAGGGGGGGGGAAGAAGGTGCCCCAGGGAAGCCAGGAGAAATAACTCACTTCAGCATTTTCCTGAACCCCAGCAGGGAGGGAGGGAGGGAGGGAGGGGCCCGCCTGGCAGGGCAGGGAGGCCATTCCAGGGCATCGGTGCCCCCCCCCAAGAAGCAGCACCTCCTAGCCTGCCACCCTCCCCGTCTCCCGAAAATCTGGTGTCCTCCACAGCTGCTCTCTGCGGAGTCCAGCGGGCTGGCCCAGTTCCTGGGAATGCCCTCCTCGGCTTGCTCTGCTGACAGACTGGCCCCGGAATCAAACCACGTTCTGATGGTGGTTCTCTTCCGATGTGGAGAAGCCCCCCCCAGGGGAGCCCATCCCCTTTTCCCGGGGTCAGAGGTGAGCCGGCCTCGAAGGCTCCTCTTTGGAGGGCGCAGGGCGGTCAGAGCCGCCCTGTTGATTCGGAGAATTTGGCGAGTGTGTGTGTGTGTGTGTGTGTGTGTGTGTGTGTGTGTGTGTGTGTGTGTGTGTTAATTGGCACCTTGCCTTCTTTGCTGCGATCTGTCCCGAAAGATGAGAGGATTAAGCATCAGTTGAATAAATTGGTGATGCTGGAAGCCCCCCTCGGTTTAGGCCCCGCTGGAAGTGGCTTCGGCAGCCTGGGGGCCCAGGGAGGGGCAGCCTGGCTGGGTCTGCGGGGGGGAGGGGGGGCAGAAGAGGTCCAGAAGAGAACAAGGGGGGGCTGCTTCCAGGACCCAGGAGGCAGGGGTCACCCCAAAGAAAGGGAGGCCTCAGTCCAAAGGGAAGGGGGAGGACGTGGGGGGTTCAATTTACCAGGTGGGGGGGGCAGCATCCAGCTGACTTCAGAGAAATCTCCCTCCCCAAGAGTAAGAGAAACTGGCCTGGGGTCCCAACCAGAGATATGGATACCGAATTAGAAGACCCCCCCCCACCTCCACGCTACTGCATGCTGCCCCACGCTAACCTCCGCCATTTATTTGTTAATTTTAATGTCTTGCTGTTTTCATCTTTTTTACAATGTCGTCAGCGCCCCAGAATGTGACAGCGAGAAGGGGGGGCCAAATAAATTTAATAAATAAATATTCAGAGAGGGGACTCAGATTTGAAACACGAGCCCCCCCAAGCACCCCCTGCTCTTTGAAGGGAACCACGCCCACGCCGGGGTCCCCCAGGGCCAGCGGTCCCCACAGAGGCGGGGCCGGACCCCCAGGCGAGCCGCCCCCCTCCCTCCCTCCCTCCCCCGTGCCCCCCCCTACCTCGTAGGTGCTGGTGACCCCCAGGCGGTAGAAGACGGGCAGGAAGAGGCCGGCGGTGAGCAGCGAGTTGAGCAGCTGGCCCAGGCACATCCAGAGGAACTTCAGGCCGTAGCGGTAGGCCTCGGCCGGGACGCCCAGCACCTGGATGGCCGACATGAAGCTGGCCGAGAGCGACAGGCCCACCGGCAGCGCCGACATTCTCCGGCTGCCCGTGAAGAAGTCCTCGGGGCTCTTCTGGCCGCCCCGGCACAGCGCCTGGAAGAGGCCGATGCCCGTGGAGACCAGCAGCATCAGGCCGAAGACGCCGTAGTCCCAGAGGCCGAAGCCCCGCGGCGCCGGCTGGAAAGCGGCCAGCTCCTCTGCGGCGCCCATCCTCGGCCTCTCCCCGACGGACGGTGGGACGGTGGGACGGCGGGCGGCGGGCAGCGGCGGGCAGCGGCGGGATCGGACCGGCCGGAGGAGAGGGCAGAACTCGCCTGGAGGGAGAAAGCGGGAGGAGGAGGGTTGGGGTTAGGGGGGGTGTCAGAATTCAGGCCGGCTCTTGGGGGGGGGTGTCAGCGTTCAGAAGGCGCCCTCCTCCTCCTCCTCCTCCGTCGGGCAGAGGGAGAGAAGCTCCCGGGCAGAAGATGGGCAGAAGCGCCGCGGAAGTTTCCCCTTCCGAACGGCTAAACTTCTCAAAGGAGCAAAGGGTCCAGCTGACCTCCGGGCAGGGAGGGAGGGGGGGAGGGGGGAGGACGTCCCCGCACCCCTCGCAGAGGGGAGAAAGTCCAGAATTGGGGAAGGACAAGCAAGAGCGGTGGACCAATCAGCAGAACGAACTGGACATTTAGATGAGAGAGAGAGAGAGAGAGAGAGAGAGATGATACTTAATAGAGAGACGGTAGTAGACAGAGATGAGAGAAATAGTTAATAGAAATAGTTGATAGATAGATAGATAGATAGATAGATAGATAGATAGATAGATAGATAGATAGATAGAAAGATAGATAGATAGATAGATAGATAGATAGATAGATAGATAGATAGATAGATAGATAGATAGATAGATAGATAGATAGATAGATAGATAGATAGATAGATAGATAGACAGACAGACAGACAGACAGACAGACAGACAGACAGCGGCTGATCCGGGCGGGGATAAAAGAGTGGCAGGAACCGGGGGAGCTTCCCCCGGCTGCCCCGCTGACCTGCCCGGAGCCCCTGCTCTCTTTTGACCGGATCCCTTCAAGGAAAGGCGGGCGTCTTTTGATCACCTGAAGCGCGCGAGGGGCGAGGGGAGACCGGCTGGGCGAGCAGGCAGGAGACTCTCTGAGCCCCGCGAGGGCAGAAGCCGGGAGTTGCGAGCCGGGCGTCGGATGGGAGGCTGAGGGCGTCCCGTGCGCGGCGGCGCCTTAAGAAGAGCCGGGCTGCCGGCCGACCGGAGGGAGGGAGGGAGGGAAGGAGGCGCCGGGCCGGGCCGGGCCGGGCCGGGCGGGAAGCGCTGCTGGCGGGGGAAGGTGTGGCCGGGGCCCGCCTCACCAGGCTCAGGCCGTCCGAGGACAGCGTCGGGCTCCGCGCCCGGCTCCAGATGCCCTCGGGGGGCCACTCGGGTCCCGCCCCCGCCCCGCGGATGGACCGCAGCCCCCCCCGCCAGGTGAGCTTCGTGGGGAGTCCCGGTCAGTGACGGCCGCCCGAGGACGGGCTCGAAGGGAAATGGGGGGGGGTCGCCGAAGGAGGAGGGGCGCGGCGCGGAGGAGAACCGGCCAGACGTCGGGCGGGGGTCTTCAGGGGCCGCTTGGCAAGAAAGGGGGAGCCCGGCCCACGGACGGGCAGAGACCCCGAGACGTTTCGGGGCGGGGAAGCAGGAATCTGAAGGGGCTGCTTGAGCAAGTCAGGCCGGTGTTCCAACAAAGGAAAATTTGGTTTTTGTAGTACAGGCTGTCCCCGACTTACAACGGTTCGTTTAGTGACCGTTCAAAGTTACTAGGGCACTGAAAAAAGTGGCTTATGACCATTTTTCACACTTACGACCTTTGAATCATTTTTGCGATCAAAATTCAGACACTCGGCCACTGGCTCATGTTTATGACGGTCGCAGCATCCCAGAGGGGTCACGTGGTCCCATTTTGCGACCTTGTGACAAGCTGAGTCCACGGGAAGCCAGATTCGCTTAACGACCACGGGACTAACTTGACGACTGCAGCCAGTCCCTTAACAGTTGTGGCAAGGAAGGTCATAAAATGGGGACAAAACAAATGACTCACTGTTAGCAACATAAATTTGGGGCTCGGTTGTGGTCGTAATTGGAGGACTTACCTGTAAAGCAAGGATGCTGCTAAGGATTTCGTTGTTAAAAGCACATCTGCGGTTTCTCCTTTGGGGCTGCCTAGGTGAACTTTTTAAAGTGTGTGGGGGGCCAGGGGGGAACCACAGCGGTGTTTGAGATGGGCCTTGTTCAGAGGCTGCTCCTGTTCAGGTATGGGGGGGGCAAGACAGCAGAGGGAAATGGGGAGAGAGTGTGCAACGGGGGAGGGGGGCAGAAAGGAGAGGCAAAGAAAAAAGGAGGGGGAGCGTTTGGAGAAGATTTGACAGCTTTTTAATTATTATTTTATTTTTTCCATCGTGGAAGAGAATATTTGTAGCTTAGGCCTGGAGTTCGTGGTGTTGGAAAGGAAGCAGAGAAAGATGGAATCTTGAGGACTAGTGTCCCAATTTGAATAAATGCTTCCCACTGGCTTTATTTGTTCTGACGGCTGAACAACAGCCCCCACCCCACCCCCAGATTCAGGGGGAGCACCCAAGGAACCTGCACGGGGGGGGGAGGAACTGCAAGAAGTGGGGTGCCCTTAGCCCTCCATCCGTGACAGCAGGACTATTCCAGAATGTTACAGGCTGCAGAAGGCCGGACGCCCCCCCCCCCCCCCCCCGACTCCTGGGCTGTCTCCCCCCACACACAAAGGGGCTTGGTCCCCCCTCCCAGAGGTCTTCCAAGAGAGGCTGGATGGCGGTTGGTGCAAAGGGCTTCACTGGATCCTGCACTCAGTCGGGTGGACTAGATGATCTCTGAGGTCCCTTGTCTATGGAGATTCTCAGTCATCCAGGTCATACTTGATCCAAAGGTGCTTTTTTTCCCATGAGGCAACTGGACTTTTTTTTTTCTTTTTCTTTTCTTTGAAGACATTTCGCTTCTCGTCCCAGAAGCTCTGACTGGATGGTGGGAAAGGGAAAGATTTATACTCCTTGCAGACAGCTGCTCGTTTGCTTCCTTTTGGGGAGTCTCTTCCTGCTCTGTGCTGAGTAAAGATGACACAATACGCCACAAGGAAATGGGAAGAGGGCCTGGCCAGGAGCCCAGGTTTGGCCGGTGATTCCCTTCTAAGAAAATAATTATTAGCAGATTAAGACTCAGCTCAGCTTTGTTCACTCGTTGATCTCCTGGCCTGTCTTGGCTTGGTGGTGGACCAATCACAGGAGGGGTCTTGGGACCCACTGGAGAGCCCTCTGAAACACAGGCCCAGCGTGCAGTGGATTCCGTGCCTTGGCTGGCATCCCGGGCAGGGGGTGGGTGGGTGCTTAAATGCCGCTGGCCTAGAGCAGACCTCTACACCATTTCAAGCAGGTAACTGTCCAATCTTTTCTTAAAATCTTCCAGTGTTGGAGCATTCACCGCTTCTGGAGGCAGATTGTTCCACTGATTAATTGTTCTCACTGTCGGGAAGTTTCTCCTTAATTCCAGGTTGCTTCTCTCCTTGATGAGTTTCCACCCGTTGCTTCTTGTCCTGCCTTCAGGGGCTTTGGAGAAGAGCTTGACTCCCTCTTCTTTGGGGCAGCCCCTGAGATACTGGAACACTGCTATCATGTCCCCCCTCGTCCTTCTCTTCCTCAAACTAGACATCCCCAATTCCAGCAACCCTTCCTCATATGTTTTAGCCTCCAGTCCCCTGATCATCTTTGTTGCTCTTCTCTGCACTCTTTCTAGAGTCTCAGCAACTTTTTTTATATTGTGATGACCGAAACTGGATGCAGTATTCCAAGTGTGGTCTTACCGAGGCATTTATAAAGCAATATTAAGACTTCACGTGATCTTGATTCTATTCCTATTCCAGGGTCCCTTCTAGCCCTGTTATTCTATGTTCTAAAATGGGGCATATCGGAGTTTGACAGAACATTATTCAGTATGCACGCTGTAGAGAACCAGTTTGGTGTTGGGATTAAAGGGTCCTGGATTAGGAAACCGAGAGGCAATGAGTTCCACTTCTGCCTTGGGCACCAAGCCCACTGGCTGACCTCAGGCTGGCCCTTCTCAGGAGAAGGAAATGGCAAACCACTTCCAAAAAACGTGTTGAGAAAACCTGGAAGGGATTCTCCGGGAAGTCTCCAGAAGTGTCCAAATAATCTTCAGGTTGGGAGAAAAAGGGGCTAACAGCAAAACAGAGGGAAGTGAGGCTCTAAAATAATGACAGTCCTGCATCTCCCTTTGCTGGATGCTCCATCACTGGAGGTTTTTACAAAGAGATTGGGCAGCCATTTGTCTGGTGGGTCCCCTGCTTGAGCAGGGGGTTAGACTAGAAGACCTCCAAGGCCCCTTCCCACTTGTTATTCCCTGCTTGGGGGCTGCTGTGGGGCTCAGGAGGTGGTGAGCCATCAGCTGGGCCAGCTTTGTGCCTCTTCGTAGTTCTTTGCCCAGGACTCTCATCTTGGTGAGAGAGAGCAGTGGGCGGGGAGGGGGGGGGTCTCGGTCCTTTCTGGAAAGCCTGTGGATTTCCTGATCCAGGGCCATCTTTTCCCTGAGTGACCCCTGCCTCTCCCCTTTCTCTCTCGACCACGGTGGCTCCACTTTTCCAGTGTCCTTGGCGCCTCACCCTCTCGACCAAGGTCACTTGTGCACTTGGGGAAGGGGAATCCCCAGCCTGCCACAACTTCCTTTTAATTTGGGAGTGGGTCAGGGTTCCTGTGAAGTGGGAGGAGCAATGAGGGGCAATGTGTCACCAAGGAGGGGGGGCTGGTTGCCTTTTAGTTCACCAGGAAAATCTGCATCCTCAGTTCTGCAGCATCTCCGTTGAGGAAGCAAAACCTTTTGAGGGCTCTGATCCTGCTTCTTGGAATCCACCACCACGAGGGGAAAGGATCCTCCACCGTGCTTGGCCTACTACACACAGGGTGAGAGGCTCGCCAGGTAACACCCGGGCGGGAGGTGGCCTTTGAAGACAGAGTCCCATTCAGACGTTCTGCCTAATTGCGCCAGGAGACTTCTGCGCCCTGCGATGGCATGGAGCCATGGTGGCGCAGTGGTTAGAATGCAACCTTGCAGGCAAACTCTGCCCACTGTCAGCAGTTCGATTCTCACCGGCTCAGGGTTGACTCAGCCTTCCGTCCTTCCGAGGTGGGTA